CCATTTCCAGTCAACACCTTGCTTAGTGAGGCTTCGTAGTGGGGCTGTTATCTTGGCATAATCGGGGATAAATCTGGACACATACTGCGCCATTCCTAAGAGTGACTTCACTTCACTTGAACACTCAGGTGGATTCATAGCTTTGATGGCATCGATCTTCTTGGGATCTGGTTTAATTCCCTCCGCGGAGAAGATATGACCATAGAACATAATCGTCGACTGTGAGAATGAACATTTTTCTTCTTTTAGACGAATGTTATACTGCTTCAATCTTTCGAGAACTCCACGTAGGTTTGTATCGTGCTCTTTCTGACCTCTACCAAAGACAATAATGTCATCTGATATATTCTTGCATCCTGGTAAGCCGGCCAGGATTTCTTCGATAGCGTTCTGAAATATTTCAGCTGCTGCATTAATTCCAAATAAAAGACGTTTATATCTTCTAAGCCCAACATGGGTGGAAAAAGTGGTAATGTTCCGACTTTCCGGAGATAATTCAAATTGATGATATCCAGACGAGAGATCCAGCTTACTAAATACCGTAGCACCATTAAGATCAGTGATGAGATCGTCCACAGTAGGCATCAGATGCTTCTCTCTTTTCACCGCCTGATTAGCTTCACGCATATCAACGCAAATTCTCACTTCTCCCGAATCTTTTGGCACGACCACGATAGGGACTTACCCAGGGAGTGGGACCATCCACTTTCTCTATTATATCTAACTTCTCTAACCGTTCAAGTTCTTTCTCTACATCTTTTCGTACGTGGAAAGGTATTCTACGATGAGGTTGTTGTTTCGGTTTCACTTGGGGATCTATATGCAATTTAATCAACCGTCCTTTTACTTTCCCAATTCCTCCAAACAAACACTTGTAGTCTTGTCGTAGACATTCAGGGTATGGAACATCGACTGCATTCACAGATACTTGAAAGAGATTCAATTTCTTGGCTGTGACAAAGCTAAGTAGATTTCCAAAACTTCCTTTAACGACATGTAGCTTGGCAACTGTTGACATATCTGGTGTTTTGATCGTAGTGATAAACGTCCCGAGTACTGGTAGGGGTACTGACGAACCATAGGAGTAGATGTGGCGCTGTGCCTTTTCCAATCTTCGTTCTCCATGTCGATTTATTTTCCTGTAGGTTGTTTCATCTATCAGGTTGACCGATGCTCCAGTATCGATCATTATGTTGAGTCGTTGTCCTTCTATTTCAATTAGACAGGTAGGTGGGCCATTTGGTGACTTGTTAACCGTATAGACATATTCGTACTCGTCAGCTTCGTCATCGTTTGGTCGGTTTTTATCAAGGGATTGTGCGACAGCATTCACAGGTTTCGACTTCGGTGGATTCGTACGACATACACGTGCAAAATGTCCACGTTTTCCGCATGCTCTACAATCTTTATCCTTCGCTGGACAAACTTGTTTATGGGGAAAATGTCCACCGCAATTTCTACAGGTTTGATGTGGCTCTTTACTTTGTTTAGAAGTATGAATATTTTTTTTGCTAAAATGAGTGGGTGGTTTATCCTCACGCGATGAATAATTTCGTCTCATTTGATAGCTTCTGTTTCTGCCACGCACCGAATTTATTGCTTGATCTCTTCCTTCGAGATGTCTTGCTTGACTTTCGCTGATTTCTAACGATCTTCCAACTTTTAATAACTTATCCAAGCTGTATTCATCCTGAAGTGCTCGCCTACGCAGCGTGTTCGAAGTGCAGCTAAGAATAATGTGTTCTTTCATCTCTTTGTCTATGTCCGTAAAATCGCAAGTCTTAGCGAGTTGACGAAGTCTAACGTGATAACTATCGAGTGATTCTCCTTGATTTTGTCTTGCTTGTCTAAAATTATAGACTTCGTACGCGATATTCGTTTGTGGAGCGAAGTATTTGGTGAGTTTTCCTACGGCAGCTTCATAGTCTGTATCGGCTTCGCCTTCGGGGTCTTCAAGCGTGTCAAAAATTTCGTCGACTTCTGGGCCAGCAAAGTGTAGCATGAGTGCTTTTTTTTGTTTCTTATCTGTAATGTTCATCGCTGTTAACAGTCGTTCTAAACGAGTTACCCATTTCTTCCATCTTGGTCCGGTATTGCCGTCCAAATGAACTTCAAAAGTAGGGAAATTCGGCAGCGAAACAGCCATTCACTTAATGTATTCTAGCCTGAAGCTAAATACCAGTTAAAGTTATCGTTTGGCTTCGTAACGTTTGCTGTTTGCTTCTTGAACATCAACAGTATGTTATTCTTTTTTTATATATATATATATCTTATAGTTTACTAGATTTACAATCCTCGTCGCCAGATATAGTGACCCTTCGCCTGCTGTAGAAGAACTAAACTAACGACAATTTACATGCAACTATATTGGATACTAATTAGAATATTACTAAGGTAACATGGAATATTAATGAGGACATTACACTGGCCACTGTATTTATTTCTAAAATGGCGTTGTATTTTATTACAGCATGTTGGGGATTGCTTGACCCAACACGAAAATATCACATTGTAAAACCCCCCAAATCTCTCGCTATATTCGCTCTCAAAATCGCCTTGTTTACATGTTCACTATATAAAGTGTTTTTCCCGGAATCTTACCGGAAGTGAGTTCGCACGTGAACTGGTTGTGATCTTTAAAATTAATTGCTGCCGAAGGCAGCCTCCTACTCATGACGATGTGCTTTTCCTCGCACCAGTCCTACTGGGTGGGCCATTCACATTCTGCGCACAATTACATTTGATATTCCTTATTGTATACAATCTTGTAAATATTACCTGCATGCATGATTTCCGCGTTATTTCTTCGCTCACTTCTTGCTCAATGACATCGGTGGTTACCCGGCAATTGCCGTAGAGGGAGAACAAAATGCCGTGGATTATTGCGGCAACGACGGCAGTTTTTTGCCGTATAGTGCAATTTTTATACTATTCACTGGCAACTACTACTTTGATACTTGAATTCAGACGTTGATCAAATCATGCGTAAATCACTATTTTAGTCTCAGTTTTCTTCGAAAAAACCCACTAAAGAAATACGTAAACATGTTTCTAGCTTGTCAAAAATCCAAAGTAACAATAAAATTAAAGTTTTATTACAGTAATTTGAAAAATGCCGTGGAAACTGCCAAAATTGCCGTAGACAGCTGTTACGTTCTACGGCAATTTTTAACGCCATTGCCGTCGATTGATTTCAGGGAAATTCGAGGCCTGATTTATACTCGAGTACAACCTTGGTCATTTCAAAATCAACAGACTAGAAATCTTACTGGTAACATGGCTGGCTGCCGATTATCTTGGATATGAGGGTTTTGAACAAGATATTGCAAGATTTAATTATAAATACACAAGATATACTGTACTGTACAAACATGCATCTCCTTGAAGAATGTAAAATGAACAGTGATGAGTGATGTAATATAATTCTGTACTTATTTGGAAAACCTTTTTGGCAAATCTTGAGAATAATGGCTTTGGGAATGTTGAAAATTAAAAACTGTCAGATAGCTGCAATGTGGACAGCATGGTTAGAAGCATACATGTCAATGGATGAAACTCCAACTTGTGTTAATTGCTGATGTTCTAGTATGGAATGAACAGTGTTATAAGAATCAATGGTGCTGAACTAATTTGGGTTTATTATAAAATATTGTTTGTCATTTAGTTCTGGCCATTAACCTTACCTATTAATTGTTATACATTGTGTCCTACTTTTTATTTTACTCTGACTGTCTAACACCAGACGATTTTATATGTTGGGATAGATCACTGGTGTTCAATGGATTATCTCATAATACACACTAGTTTGTTAAATTAACCTACTCTGTCTAATCATGCTAACATCATCATTGGCAATGGAATTGAGCAGTGATGTAGCCAGGATTTCTAATTAAGGCCTTCAAGGGGGACTGAAATCCCCAGGAGGGGCCTGCACTAGTTTGAATAAAGTTTGTTATTATGTAAAAATATATTTGGACTCCCAAGCTATCCATGTATAATATAGTACAATATAATATAGACTTTAAGTTCTAGTTAATAAAGTGCCATTTTGGGGGGCTATTTTAATGGGTTTTGGTGATTTGAAATAACCATGCAGTTAACACAATATTGTTCAACTCTACTTAATTACAAAGAAGTTCGGAACATTTAAAATATTTTGCCCCCCCCCCCCTGGTTACACCACTGGATTTGACTTGAGCCTTTTAGACCTCTGGATTTTTGTTGCAACTTAGAACAGTGTTCTGACATACATTGATGAGTTGTGTTTGTAAGAAAATTTAAAATTTGTGCAAAAGCATTTCTCAAATGGGTCGTTCCAGAAAAGATCCACACTCCCCCCACAGAGGAAATTTCTGCCATTTCAGAGCGGGAGGGGGGAAAAATTGTTTCTGATAATAGTAAATGTATTAGGACATCCAAAGGAGTAAGAGCGATTAACTTTCAATGGGTGTTTTCTGAATGACCCAATATAACAGGTTTTTTTTTCAAATCTAATCAAACTGTCAAATTGTCAATCCTTGTACATGGGGAGGGGGAATTTTGGAGAAAGAAAAATTGTGACCAATCAGGTTGGGGGTCCACCTGTAGGTCTGGCCATAGGCGTAGAAGGTGGGGCCCAACTGTTGGGCAGACTAGGCCAGTCGGGCAATATTGGCTTATTATAAAAATAAATAGGAGAAATTATTCCCTCAATATTGGGGGAAATATGCTATAGAATGGTCGAAAATTTAGTTCATTTTGATTAATAGTCATTTAATATATGTGCTATCAACAGTTTCTTTATGGTATTAAGTAACAGATTACAATGTTTGTACATTAGATCTAGAGATTTAGAGGCACTAACTCAATAATAAATAGGCACTAATACAAATTCTGAGTCAGTGCATCCAGCATCCTCGAATTGGGAATAATTTGTAAATTTAAATATTTGTGTATAATTAATAATTTATCCTATTCCAATACAAAATGCAATAATATAGAACACACAATTTAAAGGTAAAAAAGGTATTAAAAACTTTATTATGTAATATTTACATTGAATATCGTGCTTGAAGTTGTAGATTTATACTTGAAATTTCAATTTTCGAACGAGAAAATATGTTTCACTTTATTATGTTAATTTTTTTACTTTGTTCACCATTCTGGCCAATATTTACAAATACAAATAGTCCATTTCTTCATTTGCTCTTTTCAAAATAGCCCAGAATTTAATTTAAAAAAGTATTTTCATGCAAAAACCAGCATGTAACTTTTGTATACACTCCTTGTGATAGCAGCCATGTTGCCAAAATATCACCCGGGTCCCGGTAATAATGAATAACTTCCGGTACTTTCATTGTATTCGCATTGACCAATCAAATCACGTTCTGAGTTGAATTATCCCAGGGCTTCTGAGAGCAATAAGCGCAGAAGCCCTGGGTACGAGGTTGACGGGGATAGTATTCCAAGAGTTTAAATAAACGTTCATCGTATGTCCCTTCGTCAAGATCTTCACCCCTCTCACAACGTTGTCCTTGCCCTTGATTAGCTCAACAACCTTTCCTCGTTTCCATTCAGCTCGATTCCTTTCCTCACCGACCACCAATATCATTTCTCCTACTTCTGGACACGTATTTTCCCCTTTAATCACTCGATGATGTTCCATCAAACTATGTAAGTACTCCATCTTCCATCTCTGCCACGCATGTTCTCGTTTCTGCTTCATTCGTTTGTGTAACTTCGCGACTTCTTCTCCATCATCCGTGTCTGATTCATCTATGGTATGCACATTTTGTCCCCACAAAATTGGTGTGAGCACTTTTTCCTCTTCTTGCTCGCTTTCGACGTACGTCAGTGGCCTATTGTTTACATTTCCCTCAATATCAATTACGATAGCTAGCGCATTTTCCTTAATATCAATTACAATAACTTGTAACTGGTCGAAAAACGGTTTTTTAATGTCCTTAAGTAGGCGTTCGTACATTCCACCCCACCAAGGGGACTTGGATAGATTGAATCTCCACCGAATCTCTTGTCTTGCAAAATAATCTTGCAGTCGTTCACTTTTTCGTATCTTTCTGATCCATAACGCTGTCGCTTTAAACCCGACACAATCAACTTTGGTCTGCTCTTTCTTGCGATAAAGACGTTTAGCTTTACTTTGAATTCCTCTGCAGATTGTGTCTTCGTTAACTCCAGATGCACGGCTCTGGATGTAGCATTTGCCTTCTTCTTTCTAAGCTTGTATATCAGGGGACCCGCGAAATCAACACCCGTTGTTTCAAATGGTCTTCCACTTTCGATTCGAAACGTAGGTAGTTCGGCAGTTGCTGTACCCTCCTTTCCGCGGGTTTAGATTTCCGGGCATGGGAAAGGAAAGGTGGGACTGCCGACAACACATCAAGAAACGAAATACGCGTTGCCCACACAACGCAAAATTCCCATTGGTCGAAATCGATACGCCTGTCAATCAAATCTAATACGTAGTAATTAAGCTGTAAATAATATCCAGACTGAATGTTGATTTTATAAATAAACATGACATTAACGGTTCCTATTGGATAGATTTAATTGGATATAAGTAATGTTTATGCAAAAGCGAAGCCAACTTGACACGAGCGAAAAGTGGGCGTATCAAATTTCTTGATGTGTTGTCGGCGGTCCTGACTGCTCGCGGTCTAGGTTTCACTCGCTACGCTTTACATACGTTGCATCCGTTAATGATCCTTTTAATTTTCGAGTTACCCCTTGGAATCCACCAGTTCTCTCTTAGTGCGGCCATCGTGTTCGCGATACCAAAATGACGTATCTCATTGTGTGTATGCATGGTCAATACACAAGCGCCCTGATTACCACCCACGCCTGACTCGTCCCCAGTCGTCTCTGTGAGCACACGCGAAGGACGAGTCAGCACCCACGCCCAACTAAGTCTTTGAACTTACAGGCCTCGGGCGGGCAGATTAAGATTATCAAAAAGCAACACACGTAAACAATCAAACGACACACTTCATCAATAAAAATACTCATGATAAAATTAAGTGTAATCCATAATAATTAAAGTGTAAACGATAATAATTTACCCTTAGTTGTGCTCGAATCTATGCTTCCCGCATGTCTGGTGTTTACTAATTGTGGGCCGTTTAAGTAATAAAATACTTCAACATCTCACCTAAATAAATCAATGCACATATGCTCGTCAATTTTCCCCAAATCTATGGCGAACCTCAACAACGAAAGTTACCATTCTCTAATCGGTTTTCTTACCCGGAAATTTTGAATTTTGTAAGTTGCAAGTTGTACCTGGTTATGTGTGTATATCACACATACCCACCTAACCTTTTTAATATCTACACCGGTCCAGTTTTATACGTCCTATGTGAATCTGAAAGGTAAAATCGTGCAAACTTGAGGACAATTCGAATGCAATCCATAGTAATTAGTAATTAGTAATTAGTAATCACAATAGATTTTATCTACTATAAGCCAATTCTGTTGCTTGCTTTTAATGCTTTGCACGAATCAATATAGCCCATATGAAAAAATGCAAATATACTTGAATAAAAAAGATTGTGCTATCGTATTTTAGTCTGATCCATAACAATTAATAATCATGAGTATAAATGTTCTATTATAGCTTGGTTCTACTGTTGCTTTCCACGATTTGTAAAAAGCAAGAAAAGTAAAGCGATTAAACGAAACACTACAGCCATGACAACAATCATTCCTAGACAGAAAGAATAATTCCCATCTAAGGTATAGTGGTCAGGGAAAGCAATGGCATCCCGTATTGGACGATCGACATCTGGATAACGTAAGGCTTCTTTCTCAAACAAAGCTTCGACAAACCAACGGATGTAGGAAAGGCTATAACCAACTGGTCCAAAGAAATCCAAATCATCAAGTTTACACAATGTAGGAGAAAAGCCTAGATGAAAGTAATTTAGATAACATATTAATATCTTTGTTAGAGTTGCTTGAGATGTGTACAGTTTAAGGTCGCTCCCAACTATCCTTTGAATCCCGAAAATGTAATGATACAATTCTGAACTTCTGAGCAAAAAACATGGAACATGCAGTATAACTGAGGGAGTATAACTCTAGAATACATTATTCGGTCAACACGCGGAAGTTTGATCGCGGTGTTCCCCCCACAAGGATCTTCTTAATAGAACGAGGTGGGGAAACTTTGAAGAAGAAGACTTCGGAAGAAGAAGACTTCGGAAGAAGAAGACTTCGGAAGAAGAAGACTTCAGAAGAAGACTTCAGAAGAAGACTTCAGAAGAAGAAAAGGACAACTGTCTGGGTAATTTAATGAATTGGCCATGCAAACACTGACCTGACAACATAGCCATTACCAAAATTACCACCACAGACGCCATTTGAGAACTTTTGGGATTAAAGATCGTGGAAATGGCATAACCAAGACCAGAACAGCACAGCTGAGCACAAAACACTGCAGTATAATGCGCAGAAAAATACGCTAAAATAAAAAGATGGCATAATTACCAAATATGGCGTGATAAAAACTTCTGACTTCCCAAAGTAATGGGTCGGCACGAAGTTCTAGGAAGATGTTCTGTGATTGGTTGATTATGACAATGACAAAAGAATAAGCTATAGAATGGATTTTCTAAAGAACGAAGCAAGAACAATAATCCTTTTGGTTATGTAAGCCAATTACGTCTTTTGTCATTGTCATAATCAACCAGTCACAGAACACCTTCCCAGAGCTTCATGTTTACTGAAAGTAATCCACAAATCTGATTTCTCCTGCACCTGATTGATCTCATTCGCATATATACGTTTTAGAGGAGAAAATGGAAGTGATGATGCATGCACTGGCAATTAAAAACTGAAATTCTTTATCTTTATTTATACTAGATATAGTCTTCCAGTTCTAGGAATACACTTCACGCATGCATGAAAAAATGTTAATTATTGTTATACATGTCTGTCTGTTCATGCATCAAATAGATACGCTAAGTTGTATATAAAATTCCGGATATTTGCATATTGTATCTCGGAAACAAGTATCTCAAAAATATCTGAAATATCTATCTGAAATAAAGAGAGGAAACGAAAATCTTCAAAATACCTTTAAATAGTTAATATCTTAGCGTTTTAAAAGGTCATAAAGATTATAAAAAAATTGAGATTATAGTAGCACTTTAAGCTCCTATACTAAATTCTGGCGAAAGACCGTCGCTCAATACGTCAGAATCTTCTGATCGTAATGTCAGACTGACAAGTTTCAAAATCAGCAATCTATAATTTGAGTTGTTTGGACGCTCTCTGGTTTAAAATATATATTTATTTCACAAGCTTTCGACTGCCAGACTGCAGTCTTCAACGGGTGTTTAAATATTGTGTTAAACACCCGTTGAAGACTGCAATCTTGCCAGTCGAAAGCTTGTGAAATAAATATATAAATTAAACCAGAAAGCGTCCAAAAATCTCAATATGAACAATCCTGGTTTCGCCTCAAAATATTTAAAAGTGTTCTATAGTATTATACATGTTCTTACATCGTGGTGACGTCAGCGTGTAGAGAAGACTAAGATAGACCAGTGGCATCATTACCAAGATTGGCATTTGAGCAAAATTTACCGCAAGAAAATAACTCACACGGTTCACACCAGCAGCGCTTTCTCTGAAAATAAAAAAAGAATATTTAAGAAAATCTTGGGATTTTTTGGCCGAATTGCTATAGAACATCACATGTTCCAACGATATGATAAATACTTCCAAAGCAGGTGCTTACTTGGTGGTAAAGTTTGTAACGGTCTATTTACCTCCAGAATGTAGTTCTATGGTTGCCAAAGCATCTCAAAGCTGCCAACATTGCAGTCAGACCGATAGCCATTCCGCTCATACGGGTAAGCCCAGTGAATTTTTCTAACTTCACCTATATCAATAAACAATTCAAGTGAAAGAATTAGCTTATAGAAAATTAAGTTAAAGTACGTATAGTGAACCCTTTTATTTTCTCAAATGAAAGTACTCAAGTATCATGCATGCATAAATGATAGACTAGTGAAGTACAATTTAATTGTTCTCGGCATAGCAAAACAATTTCTCACTCAGTTTTCGTCCAAATTGAACCAAAATTTATTCGATTTGTCCTTGGCCTATCCTATTACCACTTGCTCTACAAATTTTCGTATTAACACTTTGATATTTCTTCAGTTGAGTTACCGTGCTAACAGACGAACACAAACACAAATTAAACTCAGGTGAAAACATAACCTCCGGGCTGAGGTAACTATGAATGGCCTTCCTAACTTCCCTTACCATCAAGTATTATCCTATACAAATCCTAAGAAAATTTACAATCTTAAATTGAATGTCATTTCTTTCATAACTTATTTACCGGCCCCTTTACTAATATCGAGGTGTTCTTTTCATTTTTGGAGTTCATTTGGACACAGCTGCTCGTTTTCAGGAAAATGGTGTCACGTTACCAATTCCTGCAAAAGGCCTATTCAACTCAAGCTAGTAAGAAAAGCAAAATATTTTTAAAAATAATCGTGGACTACATTTGAAACCACATTTAATTTGAAGGTAAATATATAAATTTAATATAACGATACTTCAAGTTTCTACGTGATCATATATAGTTAATCAAAATATTTATATCGAAAGAAACAAACGTAATACTTTAAAAAACTCATTAATAATTCATGAGAAGACAAAGGAAATCACTGCCGGGTAGGTGGTTTTATATGTACTATTTAAAACATGAGCAGCCGTGTTTTATCAGATATAAAGATACGAGGCGAAGCCAAGTATCTTTAGGTCTGATAAAACACGCACTGCGAATGTTTTAAATTGCTTCAAAAACGATCGACTATATATAGTATAAAGTTCATTGGCGAAGTAATTTTCAAAAAATACGTTGTGTTATTCGAAAAAATCAAAGTTAAAGTTTATGTATTAAAATCAAGGGAAATCTCTATGACATATAAAGATACGACACGCTTATGATTTTTCTTTGTGTTTTCCTCATTTTCCTCCTTGAAGTGATAACAAATAATATTCATTTACATAAACTTTAGCTTTGATTTTCTCGGCTTAGACTTCGTTGATTTTAATAATTAGGCCTACTTCCCCATGCAATGAACTCATCAGATGGATCGTTTTTTAAGCCATTTAAAACACTCGCAGTCCGTGCTTTATCAGATATAAAACGTTCGAGCTGCTGTACTCTAATAAAACACTGCTGCTCATGTTTTAAATAGTACTTAATATGTTTAGTAAGCAATAAATCATAAATAAATCATAATCGCCAGCACCCTCCGGAAGTTTACTCTCTGCCCGCATGAGGATTACATATCCCGTCTCAACTTGCCCCCACAGCAATAACACTAAAATGTCAGTGAAAAGCATCGCAACCGCGTGGATGATATATAACGAGCAGTCTTACCTCAAGATACAAAGCTCCAAGAACGCCACCAGCAAAGAATACGAGGAAGACGTCGATAAGTAAAGTTTTTAACAGACGGATTTGCAGCAGAAATTCTCGTTTAGTGAACGTAACGAATTGATATAGCGGGTTAGGTAGAACACGTTTTGCTAAAAATAAAATGTTTAGCGGATTAAGAATCCTCTATACTTATCTTTCCTTCCGTGATAGATTATAAAGCTAACTTGGCTTTACTTTTATCGTTTTATTGTTCTTGAAGTGCCTAACTATTTTAGTTGCCATTTCAGAGTGTTGAAAGCTATATCTTCTTCACACGCTGACGTTTATACATGCTCTCACGACACTCGACAACAATATTTCTACGCAGATACAAAAACATACATCTTGTGAGTTCTGAAATCAGAACAAAATTAAAATTAAATAAAACCAAAGTTCACGGTGTTATTTTGACAATATTAGGCTATTTACAATCACCAAGAATTTTGCGTAATATATTTTTTAAAAGTTGTGCCTTATTTGTTTTGGGTACAATATTTCAATATCAAATCAATATTTCAATATCAATATTTCAAATCGTCTTAATACAACACCAGTAGTAATTGAACCTTGCGATGAAATACACTACAGTGTCGTGGACACAAAATTAATCCGCTTAAAAACATGCAACTGATGCAAGTTGTATGTATCCCACCTTCAGGATCAGAGTTAGACGAAACATGAAATTCTTGCTCTTCCCCAGAACTACTTGCTCTTCCTTCAACAGCACCAGATTTGTTCTTCCAAGCTTCAAAGAGATCTATTTCTTCATCTCCTATATCGACTGAGCCACCGATAACATCCATATAGAAGTCAGCTGGGTTGACGTTAGCAGGTGTATTGAAGCCAAGGGATGAGAAATATTGAGCAGCATCAGACACATTTCCTTGATAAACTGTCTTACCACCAGGACCAAGGAGTAAGATGTTGTGGAACATATCTACACAGAGATGTTTTTTTATGATTATATACCAAAATAACCACCGACATGCAGCTAGGATAAGTGTTGGGGTTTGATAAAGATAATTGATAGGGATTGGCGAGGTTCGTCCGATGAATTCAATGAACTGCAACGGTACGGTTCTACCTCGTGACATAGGAGGGACATCACAAGGTTCAGTAACCGTGTCAGTTCAACACATTCAATAAAGGTGAATAAAAAGTATAGAACTATAACATTTCCATGTCGACGATCCAAGCCAGCGAAGGTGATAGCCTATGTATATATATGGAGTAACCATTAACAAGATCTCTAGGTTATGCTTTCTGATAAATCTTCCCTCTACAACCGTTTTCCTTTCACAAATAATTATAAAACCGTATCACCTACTGAATATTTCAAAACGTGGTTGATGAATAACGCACAAGACAGTCAATTTTCCTTCTTCGGCTACAGCTCTCAACGACTTCAACACAGATAAACTGGATGTACTATCCAATCCACTGAAACAGTAAAACATTTCACTGATTTCATTACTGAATACATTATATATAGTGAATTTTTAAAGTCATGGTTCAATAGAAATAGTTGTTTTTATTTTTATTTCTATTTTTATTTTTACTACTTTGCATTAATTGGGTTTAAAATTTGAGCGATAGCGATGGATTAATTCACAATGACATGAATATTTAGCCTATATAGTAAATAGTTTTCAAACAAAAATAAGAATACGTGTGTAACGTGCGTACATAACAGCTGGTTTAATACATAGTAGAGCAATTATTACAAACGCAGGACAACAACCGAACTAATCGGTAATTAGCAAATCGGGAGATACGACGTTAAAAAACAATTGAGCTACCCAGTCAAAGCACATGCACGTTGAATTCTTACAACAGGATAAAATATCTGTGCCCGCGCGCGCTTGAACTTAGTAATTCATCAAGAAATTAGCTAACGAAACCTATTTTTTAGTCACGTGATGACACTTGAAAACTGGTAAAATATATTTTAACCCTCTGCTGGGCTGTGTTGATCCAGCCAAAGTTTCTATTCGATTCCTTCGACTCCATGCATGGGCAACATGAATTATTTAGGGTACGAGATGTCATTTTAAAATATGATCGAATTTCAGGTCCTTGAAAGCGAATTTCGGTTTTTCCTGAAACTCGAACAAACTGTTCGGAGTTTAAATCCCATCCAGTCTTTATTTCCAAATTTTAAATATTATAATAATAATTTCATAAACTTCATAAATAAACTTCATAAACTTTAATAAGTACCACTCCCTAAAAAGGGCTTTTCAATTTCGCTACCGACACTTAACCAACCTTGTAGGTTCATCAAGGAATAACAAAGTTGGATCAGCAATTAACTCCATTCCAATATTTACTCTTTTTCGTTGTCCACCAGAAATGCCCCTTGTTTCCTTAAACCAAAAAGCATATTGTAGGGTTTGAATGGGACAGGTTTTATAATCTAATTGACTCTCCGAAGGTGACTTAGTTTGTTAAATATTTTGCGATTAGTGCCTAAGGGTTAGTTTTTACCGAGGGAGAGAAACCCTCGAAGTTTTTCAAGTTTTTCAATCGTGATTAAATAAGTGCTTCAATAAAAAAAGCACATGGATGTTGCCTAAGCAATCCCCTTCCCTCCACCTGCTGTGCAGGCCGTCGAAAATTGCAAGGATTGCTCCATATAACGGACGTGTTGGGACCATATAACATGGGTCCATTTCGTATTTCGCGCTCATTTTTAAATCGTGCTCATTTAAAAACAAATATAAAATACAGGGTTCTGCCCAGGAGAATGAGACTGCCGGGTATAAATATTTGTAAACATGAAACCCACCGTGGGCAGAACCCTGAAAATAATTTACTTTTTCCATTGTTCGAGAAAAATTGATAAATGTGCGACCACTTTTTGTCTTGGCCGAACATTTGTCCTTCCAAACAAAATAATTATTTGCAGTTTGTTATATATACATGTAGTTTTTGCTTGAATATTTCTCGATTGAACTCGAACTTGAATGGTTTTCGTTGTTTAAAGGTATCCATTGTTCAGAGGTTTTCATAAAAAGTTAATTCAAAAGTTCGGGACTTGAACTTACTCTGGAGTATCCGTCATAGTCATACGAGTATCCGCGTAGAGTTAGTTATAAGCGTACGAGGCTTGTCTTTTCGGGGGGTCACTTTAAGAGAGTAATGAAATAACCTAACTTTTGTGATCAATCCTCCTCCCCCTGTCTCGTACGTCTATGCATGGTTGTAGAAGAGGTTCACTGTATTAAGAAATCTAAAATCAATGTACGTACCTCATCACCAATGAGGGAATCTGCAACGTGAGAGATTTCTAAGATGTCGAGTGTCTAAAATGCGAAGTAATGTAATGTTAAGAGTATCGCGGTATTTACTCGTTTACGTGCCGTCCCCGATTAAGCGCCGCACACGAGAGCGAAAATATTAAAGAGCGTCGCTCTCGCAAAAGCGCTGTACTTTCAATAAGATGGTATACTTAATCAAAGCACCGTCTGACGGAATTGGTCAAGAACAGCTACATTACATCTTAACCTTTAAGCAGCCTCAGAAATTCATAGCTCCTGTATTTATAGAACGTTTTTAAGTTCAAAGTTAATATATTTCAATGGCTCTCTTTAGAAAGAGTGTCGCCCTCGAATAAGTGGCGCCAGTAAGTACACGATTGCTCAAAAAATTGATTTCATTCGTTAAAGAAAGCCATTTTCATGTATTTCCTGTGAACATGAAGAACCCCATACGCGTTAAGCGAATCAAAAGATAAATTCGGCAATGTGATTCAGCTAGCGACAATATTTACCACGAAAACTAGGAACCGATTCAACTCCTCCGTGGCGCAATTTTTCACTAACCAATCATATTGCCGAACATAATTTCCCATTCTCTTCCCGCGAACACATTTGGCTAATGAAAAACTGCCTTTAGCTATTCTCAATTTCGAACAAAAACTACTAATTAAAGCCATCATTTTTCAAGATTCTATTTCCAGCCAACGTCCATCAACTACGCCACTGTATTAAAATCATTGAGCGACAAAATTACCTGACAAGCTTTCGTTGGTTGGGATGCAACTACTTGAAAATATATAAGGAGAATTTCGACGTTTCGAGCGAAGGCCGTTCGTCTGGAGTTACTAGCGGGAGTCGGGAAAATTACATGAGCTTTTTTACTAATATAAAAGCAATCACGTGACAAAAATAAACCAATCAGAAGGATTTAGCCAAAACAAAGTATAAACAAAAAATGTAAATCACATCACAGAATATATTAATACAATTATACAGAAAGCTATACAGCACGTGATCGTTTACATTCTTAGTATAAAAGCTCATGTAATTTCCCAAACCCCAGCTAGTAATTCCAGACGAAGGGCTCGAAACGTCGAAATTCTCCTTATATATTTTTCAGGTAGTTGCATCCCTACCAACGAAAGCTTGTTCGTATTATTGGCACTACCTACACTGGCACAGACACTTCAAAATTACCTGACGTATCTTGTAATTGATGGTTCGTTTATTGGTTCCAGCAGGCAAGCGCAGCAGAGCTTGGTAATACAAAACCTCGTGGACAGTTAAATTCCTGTGCATCGTATCCTCCTGTGAAATAAAAGGGAAATGGGTCTGATGGGTAAATATCAGGATTTTGGGCATCTAAACTCGATAGAACCATGGATAATAAAATAAATTTTTTACAATTATTGATAGAACTAATTTTTATAGTTATTTTCCAATCCATGATAGAACTAATTGAAGACGGGTTTTGTAGATGGAAATTTCGAGTGTAAATCTTATATATTTATCAACCAGGAAAAAAAATGCAACTATAGGCCCTCTGGCAGGAATCGAACCTGCGGCCCTGCGATTCCGGTGCAGTGCTAATTTACGCTCGAAATTTCCATCTACAAAATTTTTCAAAAGTTGAGATGCTGCAAAACCAGTAACGGAGTTAAATTTATAGCATAAGAAAAACCATTTTCTATTGCCATGCCCTTTAAAAAAACAAATATTTGCATAAATTCCGTACCTGAGGAACAAATCCTGTAATAGACCTGAACTGTTTTATTCCTCTGACCACTTCATTGTTGAACAATATCTTCCCATTTGCATTCTAAAGTAAAACAAAATTTTGCACTGTCAATATTTCACCATATAGCTGTAATGCTACCATTTTTAATAAAATCTATCTATTATCTATCTAACAAAAAAAAAGTTAATATGAGTTATTATATATTATTATATATCAATAGTCAAAGTCGCATTTTTCTAGTGTTTTATTGGTTGAGAGCATATCACGTGAGAGTGATGAAATTAGGCTGTCTCCCTCGCAACAGTGCGAGAGGGAGATAATACGTTATCGACCGGCGAATAACAAAAAAAAATCACGTGCGCCATCACGTGAAGATGCGACCTTTGGACATGCCTAGTGCGTAATTAAAACTTTTGCTTTAAGTAACTGCAGTGTAGCCAGTGTTTAATATAACGTTTTAACAATAAAATATTTCATGTATTTACGTTCATTTGTTCTTTAATTTGTTGTTTCTTTGACTATTGATATATAATAAAACACTTATTTACTGAGACCTCGGGAAAGCAGTGTGTTTTGTGGACCCTCGACCGTCGATGTTTCCCTCGGCTTCGCCTCGGGAAACATCGACAGTCTCGGGTCCACAAAACACTCTGTTTCCCTCGGTCTCAGTAAATAAGTGATAAATATATACAGGGTGTGTGAAAAAATGAGGCCATCTTTTATGCCTAATATTGTTGGAATGCTTGTCCTTGTTAAATGATTTTACTCTAATTTTAAATCTTGTTCCTTTCTCTTTCGAAGAACTTTACTATATAGCTAACATCGATTTTGTTTAGCATCTCAAATTTTTGGTTCTTGAATCTCAGTCACATAAAATAAGATTTTTTGCGAACCAATCGTTCAAATTTCAAAATTATCATACCGTTGAAAAGCTGAATGACTGAGCTATACTATAAAATGAATGTAAAAACACAGTAAACGGTTTGCCGTATTATTCTTTTAGAAATTTACGTTTTTTAGTTATACACCCTGTACTGTCCGACTTCTGGCCTTTAATAACGTATCTTTGTTTTCTGGAATTTCACATTCCCAAAGCCGGTGAAAGGTCTAAAGGGAATTAAGCCAATTACTTATCTTTCCTTTTGCTACATTGGCATCAATGAATTGACGTCTTCATGATCATGGGCATTATGTTTTATGTATATTTAAGTTCTTATGCGGATTCATAATTGTTAGCGTTTGCATCGTATCTATGACATTTTCGGGAAATAAGTTCAGCCGCTGTTCCACTTTTCGATATGAAAGAATGGAGGGATGGGAAGAATCAGGAAAACAAACAAAGACTTACCCCATAGTAAGCTTTTCCACTCAGTGTGTTAAGAAATGTCGTCTTTCCAGCACCAGAAGGTCCCATGACAGCTGTAACTTCACCGGAACGTACATGACCTGTCACTCCTTCTAACACTACCTTGCCTTTATTTTCCCTCTGTACCGGAAACAAAATGACATCGTTTATTTAGTGGGACCACAGGCGGCCCAATCTCCGAATGGTCTATATATTTTGAATATTTATACGGAATATTTAACCGTTATAATATTTAATAACGAAATAATTCAAAAAATATTAGCAGTATATGTAAAAAAATATATCTATAAAGGACGAACTTGTTAATAGAATGCATTTGTTGTGTTTCTGAGTTTAGTTGATGCGATTGCTTTACGTTTTCGTCGTACTTGAACGGTCGTCAGTACTGGCACTGGCTACATAGGACATAAATAACTACAAGGCTAGCCACTTATCTGATATACCCTCCGACATCGAGTCCAATATCTCGCCTCAGAATCGTTGCAGAGCAATAAATTTCACATCGCCTAATAGTACGAGCGTTCTTCTTTCGAGAGAACTTGGTTTGTTCACCATTGCAGCAATTCTCGTGACACAAGACGAACTTTGTTTGTCCAAATTCCAAAATTCCATTTTTGAAAGAGGCGCTAACCCCACGATCCAGAGGAGGAATCGTCAGTATACCGTGATGCATTGCGGTGGGTTTTTTTCTCAATTGTGAATTTCGCGTGCGATCGACGAAATAATTGAGAGTTTTCATCGGATTTTTTGTCGCTGAAAATCACGAAAGTTTTAAAGGTATTTATTAACAATATGTTCTTGGGTATTGAAATTTACTATATAAATATTTAATTTTGGTTATTTGATACTTTGAGGGCGAATAATTTGCATATGTTTTGACCTATTTTCCGGGTCACTGCACACGGCCGGAAATTAGCTTTAAAATATGATGGGGTCGTTTATAGTTTTAAATAGAAAAAAGCGAGAAAAATCATACCAGTACATAGAAGAGAATTTATTCTTTCAAATGATACCAAGAAATCAAAAACGATCCCTCAAACCGAGAAGTTAATGGCGTTTCAAAATGGGGTATTTGGTACTTGATTTATTCAAACCAGATGAAAAACTATGCGTAAACACGCGACATCCTGGTTACCGCGCGAAATAGCGCGAAAACACAATGATATTAAATTCATCATGCAATGGCATGCAATCATATTATTTTTCAGTTTTGATATATACTATAGGAACGTGAATTCATATCCTTTATCAATCTATTTTCCATTATATTGATGAATAAGTAAGAGATAGTTACTGTATAAAGCAATGTTGTTTGTATTAATAATAGGATACGATATGGCCGAATCTTGTGATGTTGCTGATGAGAATACTGCTAAGCGTTTATATGTTTTGAGTGGTAATACACCAGGCAAGCCAGATAGGAAGACCAGAAGGCTTTCTCGTAATGCAGCATCCAGTCGAGCT